TCAGTGGAGGGGGACTGGTCGGGCCTGCGGGACAGGAAGAAGCGGAGGGCCTTAAGGCCATCTGCATGGGGAATGCAGGTGTAGAGGGACTGGACATCCATGGTAAAGATGAGGTGTTGGGGACCGGGGAATTGGAAGTTCTGGAGGAGGTGGAGGGCGTGGGTGGTGTCACGGACATAGGTAGGGAGTTCCTGGACCAAGGGGGAGAAAATGGAGTCTAGATAGTTGGAGATCAGTTCGGTGGGGCAGGAGCAGGCGGAGACAATGGGTCGACCAGGGCATTCAGGTTTGTGGATTTTGGGAAGGAGATAGAAGCGGGCAGTGCGAGGTTGGGGAACGATGAGGTTGGAGGCCGTGGGTGGGAGGTCACCTGAGGTGATGAGGTTGTGGATGGTTTGCGAGATGATGGTTTGGTGCTCAGGGGTGGGGTCATGATCAAGGGGGCGGTAGGAGGTGGTGTCGGAGAGTTGGCGTCCGGCCTCGGCGATGTAGAGGTCAGTGCGCCATACTACAACTGCGCCTCCCTTGTCCGCGGGTTTTACGGTGAAGTTGGGATTGGAGCGGAGGGAGCGGAGGGCTGCACATTCTGCAGGGGAGAGGTTGGAGTGGGTGAGAGGGGTGGAGAGGTTGAGGCGATTGATGTCTCGACGGCAGTTGGAGATGAAGAGGTCGAGGGAGGGTAGGAGGCCTTGGGGTGGTGTCCAGGAGGAGGGGGTGTGTTGGAAGTGGGAGAAGGGGTCAGTAGAGGGAGGGTTAGGTTCACGGTTGAAGAAGTAAGCGTGGAGGCGGAGGCGGCGGAAAAACTGCTCTATGTCCAAGCGTGAGCGGTATTCGTTGATCTGTGGGTGGAGGGGGACAAAGGTGAGCCCTTTACTGAGGACTGACCGTTCGTCCTCAGTAAGGGGTAGGTCTGGGGGGATGGTGAAGACTCGGCAGGGCTGGGTGCTGCTGTCTCCTCTGGAGCTGCTGGCTGTGGGCGGAGCTGTGTCGGCGTCGGCTGTGGGCGGAGCTGCGCCGGTGGGCGGAGTTGCGTCCGCGTCGGTGATGGGCGGACCGGCGTCGGAGGTAGGAGGAGCGGGGTGGGCGGCGGCAGTAGCGGTGAGGGTGGTCGCGACTTCAGTGTCGGTGGCAACGGCAGCGATGGTGTTTGCTGTCCCAGAAGTGGGGAACCCGGCAGTGGCGGATGTGACGTCATCTGTGGGTTCTCAGATAGTGGCCTCATGGCCAATGGCGGCGGACCCATTGTGGGGAGGGTCCTGGGTACGGCTGGGGATTTGGGGGGTGGAGGAAGCCCGTTTTGGGTGGTAGGCACCAGTAAGTTTACTGTACTTACGGTTTTTAGTGTCCAATAAAGCTGAGTAGAATTGGGAGTTCAGGTTGTGGATCCTACGAAGAATAAAAAACAGGAGAGGTCCTTTGCAGGTCTGGGAGAGGGAGGCTCTGAGCTGGGGGAGGCTTGATTGTAGTGTCTGGAGATGCCGGCGCATTGCTGCAAGTGTGTGTTTCAGGAGTCGCAGGGAGAAACGCTTCTGAAGGATCTCAACACCATGAGTGTAGATATTATCACGGTTGGGGCCAAATTGGGAAGGCTTGAATGTGGATTGTAGTCCATTGGGGATGATCTGGTTCCGTAGGCAGGTGCTAAGGAAGGTGATATCAGCATTGCTGCAGACATCTAGGATGCCAACTTCAAGGACCTAGACTACTTGAAAAGACTGACAGGCATACTAGAATATTGAATTTGAACATAATTCAAATTCAAATTTGGAGGTACAAAGTATCTGTATTAGACAGTTACTATTCACTTACATATCAGTCATGTTTTCCTTTCTCTGGGTGACTGCCTGGAATTCTGAATCCTTTATCGAGATCTCTTTGCTAATCTCTTTCAAAATACTCTCTTGTTCAGTCTTGTGTTGTTCAAGATCTTTCAAGTCAGCTTTCATTAATCTAGGAGACCAGTCACTCATTTTATTATTATTACAAAGAACCAAATACTTTCCACATAGTAAAGATATCTTGGCCAACTAGAAAAGACTCAGTATATATTTGACTCAGAATGGCATCTACATTGCATGCATGATGTTTCTTGACTCTGAAAAGTAAAACCATGGTATTCTGCTTTCTAATATATTCAATCCCTATGTTGTTTCAATCGTAAAGGACTACAATGGTGACTGTAATCTGCTTAGGTATCCAATAGGACAGTAAATGATCATGCTGAGTAATAGTAGTTCTGGTCAAGTGTCTCAATTGTACATTTATGAATATGATCGGACAATTAAGGAATTCAAATGATTCTTATTGTCTTATAGCATTTGATGTTCTCCTAATATAGTCGATCATAAATTTTCTCTACACAATAGAATAGTGTGGAAACTGCATTCTACCATTCTTGACGTTTGTGTGAAATACACCGACATATTGCATTAAAGTTGCCACAGTCCTAGAGGACCATAGGGCTGCTCTCTTATTAGTGGCCCTTAAATTGGAGGGTCACCATGACTGAGGCAATGGGAAGAGGTTGAGAAGGAGAATCTTTCATGCTAAGCTCACTGGTGTGGAAATTGAACCCACACTGTTGGTATTACTCTGCATTGCAAACCAGCCACCCAGCCAACTGAGCTAACGGACCCCCCATATATTGCATTTACTCGCGATATGAATCTAACAAAAGATTTTAAAGTCATTTAGCTCGTTACTTGCAATTCAAAGACTCAAATATTTAATCTAAACCTTCCCAAAAAACTTAAATAGAAGAACAATAAAGTTGGATCCTTCTGTATTCACCACAAATTTTAAATAATCAAGCCAGGCTCAGTGCTGGATTAAGAGCACTTATGTTTAAAGTTCTCTGATTTTGGCAAGTAGAATTACTGGATCATTCACTACTGCTCAAGTGCCTCATATAACCAGCTTAAATGATTAAAAACTGTGTTTTTACAGCTTGAAACTCTAGTCCATACCTGAGCTGCTGCTCAGCCTCAACTAATTTAACTGCAGTCTCCTGTGCTCTTCGTTCCAATTCTTCTGCATCTTTCTCAGTGTCTATCAAGTGTTTCCTGGCATCATCATACCACTGGACAGTTTCTTTTGTCTGGCAGAATGATAAATCACACAAAAAGACTTGAATCTGTGCAATTTGGTAAAATAAACTGTGAAATTGTTATTTTAAATAAGTCAGATTTTCAAAAAATGATTTAAATGTTTAAAAGGTAAAAATATTTGTTGATTTAGGGGAAATAATCAGCTACAAAGAACCTAACAAAATGAAAATGTGTGGCCGAAGTGGTCAAAGCTGGTGATTATGCTTCATGATATGTGACAGGGTTTTCTTGCTAAAGCTTTCTCAATCATTGTAGCAATAGCAGTTTAAAAACCTGAATGAAAATATGATTAAATCCAAGATTAATAAAGATTAACATTTTCAATCGCAACTGTCTCTTTGAAAAAGTTCTCAACACCTTTAATCCTTATAATTGAACACTAACACTGCTCCATCTACCACCAAAGAATTATTTTGCAAGTCTATGCTGTTAGTTGGGAACTTCACCAACTGATAGTACCTATGCAAAATATGAGCATGTGATGTCATAGGCCAGTTAAATTACTTCTAATACACTCTTGTTGCACAAATACTCAATTGCAGTAAAACTAAATCTTTAGATTTTAATATAATTAAATACGAAATAACAGGAATTTTTTGACGATGAGCTTGCAACTACAATTTGATTTTTTAATATGAATTGGCAGTGAGCAAAATTTCCTACTATCATATCTTGATAAAATTATACACGGTTCTCAAAAACAGCCTATTTTACATTCCTCTTACCATCTGCACACTGCAGGGCTCGAGTGTAAAATTCTAAGGGATCCTGGATAATCCAGCACAAAGATAACTGATTACAAATTATAAATATGTTGTCAGCAACGTAGAAACCAAATTGTGACACAAGAGCCAAAAAATGCATTAAATCAAGGTGACGTATTTTACCTTTCAATTCAGACGAGACATCAGATTTAAGGCAACCAAAACATAAATTACACTTTGACATTAGAATTCTAAATCCAACAATACTTTTAAAACCTGAGGATTCAATAATATATAGATGAAGATGTTTGCTTCCTAATCCCACTGGAAGTGCTGCATTTTAGCCAGGATACTGCTTTAACAAGTCTACTATTCAACAAACAGGAAATATTTTACAATCATTATGGTACTGGAGGAAGAACAATTCTCTCTCTTCTCAGTTAATGAAATAGTTGAATCTTTATGTGAACTGTAATAAACAAACAATGATAACTTGAAGAATGTGCTTAAAACTGTAAACATACTTACCTTTTCCCTTGTACTTTTGAGATCTGCCTCCGCCTCCACCAATAGTCTGTCTGTTTCTCGTAGTTCTGCCCTCCGTTTTGCAAGGGTTATCTCCAAACATTCAATTTCATCAACAACATCATCATGTCTCTTGAGAGATTTTTCCATGTCAAGCTCATTCATCAGCTGATCTAGACGTCCATCTAAATATCCTCTAAGAAAAGAACCATGACTTTTTAAAATGCAATGCAATTACTTCAATTAAATACCACTAATACAATAGATGTAGATCACTTTTATTTGAAAATGTTTAGCTTATCATTGAATAACCTCAACCTGAACGAAAGCATGGGAACTACAGAAAATCAAAATGCATCGGGACTCATATTCTACAGTGCTGCAACGATCCATAGCCGGTAATAATTCAAGTAGTTAACTTGGCTAATATGTCTCATTTTAATAGTGTTCTGATAGACTCTCTGACATGTTTTGATATTCACAGAGATAACAACTCAGAATTTTCAGGAACAATATGCTCAGCTCAGGAATAAAATAGCTTTGCCATTCAGAGCACTGTGTTACTCACATTGGAATGAATTTAGTAGAAAAAAAATGTAGTGCTGTGAAGGGAACAGCACTTTTAAATCCAAATAGATAATAAATGGCAGATAGCTAATGCAGCATCCGATTTTTCGTCACTGATCTAATCCTTTTTCAAGTCAGCAACATTAAAAACAAAATTGTGACACTGTTTCCCTGATTAGTCATAAATATTTATGGCAATGTAAGCTGTGAGGAGAACACAGAGAGAGAGACTGCACAGATACAGACAGATTAAGCAAGAGGATAAGGTGGTAGATGGAGAATAACAGCTTTGCAATCTTGCCATTTCAGTTGTGAATGGTGGTGGATGATTAAACGATCCACTGGAGGAGGAGGGTCCACAAATAACCTCACTCTCAATGATGGGGGAGCCCAGCACATCAGTGAAGAAGAGAAAGCTACAGCATTTGCAACTATCTTCAGCCAGAAATGCCAACGGTATGAGCTATCATGACCTTCTCCAGAAGTCCCAGAATCATAGATGCCAGTCTTTAGCGAATTCAATTCATGCTACGTGATATCAAGAAACGGTCGGAGGCACTGGACAGTGCAAGGTTATAGGTACGGAAGACTTGTGCTCCAGAACATGCCCCACCCCTAGCCATGCTGTTCCGGTACACCTACAACACCCAACAATGTCTGGGTGTATCCTGGATACAAAAGCAGAACAAATTCATCTAGCCAATTACTGACACATCAGTCTATCCTTTGTCATCAGTAAAGTAATAGAAGGTGTCATCAACAGTGTTATCAAGCAATACCTGCTCAGCAATAACATGCTCACTGACACTGAATGAGAATGAGAGTTCTGCCATGAAACTCAGCTGCTGACCTCATTACAGCCTTGGTTCAAACATGAACAAAAGAGCTCAACTGCAGAGGTGAGATGAGTGTGACTGCCCTTGACGTCAAAGCCACTAGCAAAACTGAAGTCAGTGGGAATCTGGGGAAAACTCTCCGCTGTTTGGAGTAACATTTGGCACAAAGGAAGATGGTTCAAGATGTTGGAGGTTAGTCACCTCACCTCCAGGAATACCTCAGGGTAGATACTTTGTAATCAAGCCAAGAATAATCAAGGAGAATGGTACTACACACCTCAGAAGCAGGTGGGACTTGGTTTTCTGTCGTTCCCTTGAACCCAGGCCTCCTGGCTCAGAGGTATGGACATTACCATTGTGCCACAAGTGCTATTGTCTTAGGCTGAACTATCTTCAGTTGTGTCATCAATGTCCTTCCCTCCATCACAAAGGTCAGAAGTTTGTTTGTTGATGGTTGCACAATGTACAGTATCATTTGCATCTTCTCAGATACTGAAACAGTCAATGTCCAAAAGCAGCAAGATCTAGACAATATCCAGGCCTGGGCTAAAAAGTGGTAACACTTGTGCCATACAAATGGAAGCAGGACCATTTAAAAAAAAAATCATTTCTGGGGATGTGGACGTCGCTGGCTAGCCAGCATTTGTTGCCTGTCCCTAATTACCCTTGAGAAGGTGGTGACGAGCTGCCTTCTTGAAACGCTGCAGTCCACCTGCTGTGGGTTGACCCACAATGCCATTAGGGAGGTGAGTGGCTTGGAGGGGAACTTGAAGGTGGTGGAGTTCCCATATATCTGTTACCCTTATCCTTCTAGATGGTAGTGGTCATGGGTTTGGAAGGTGCTGTCTGAGATCTTTGGTGAATTTCTGCAGTACATCTTGTAGGCAGTGCACACTGCTGCTGCTGAGCATTGGTGGTGGAGGGAGTGGATGCTTCTGGTTGCAGTGCCAATCAAGTGGGTTGCTTTATGCTGGATGGTGTCAAGGTTCTTGAGTGTTGTTGGGGCTGCAGTCATCCAGGTAGTGGGGAGTATTCCATCACACTCCTGACTTGTGCCTTGTAGATGGTGGGCAGGGTTTCAGGAGTCAGGTGAGTTACTTGTCGCAATATTCCTAGTCTCTGACCTGCTCTTGTAGCCATTGCATTTACGTGGTGAGCCCAGTTGAGCTTCTGATCAATGATAACTCCTAGGATGTTGATAGTGGGAGATTCAGTGATGGTAACACCATTGAATGTCAAGATACAGTGGTTAGATTGTCTCTTATTGGTGATGGTCATAGCCTGGCATTTGTGTAGCACGAATGTTACTTGCCACTTGTCAGCCTAAGCCTGGACATTGTCCAGATATTGTTGCATTTGGACATGGAGTGCTTCAGTGAGGAGTCACAAATGTCACGGAACATTGTGCAATCATCCGCGAACATCCCCACTTCTGACCTTATGATGATGGGAAGGTCATTGATGAAGCAGCTGAAGATTGTTGGGCCTAGGACATTACCCTGAGGAACTCTGCAGAGATGTCCTGGAGCTGAGATGACTGAGCTCCAACAACGACCAACTTCCCATGTGTTAGTTATGACTCTAACCACCAGAAAGTTTGCTCCCACTACCCATTGATTCCAGTTTTGCTAGGGTTAATTGATGCCATACTTGGTCGAATGTAGCCTTGATGTCAAGGGCTGTCACTCTCACCTCATCTCTGGAATTCAGCTCTCTTGTCCATGTTTGAACCAAGGCTGTAATGAAGTCAGGAGCTGAGTGGCCTGGTGGAACCCAAACTGGGTGTCACTGAGCAGGTTATTGCTGAGCAGGTGCTGCTTAATAGCACTGTTGATGACACCTTCCATCACTTTACTGATGATCGACAGTAGACTGATGGGACAGTACTTGGCCGGGTTGGATTCGTCCTGCTTTTTATGTACAAGACATACTTGGGCAATTTTCTACAATGTCGGGCAGATGCCAGTGTCGTAACTTTTCTGGGACAGCTTGGCTAGGGGTCTTCAGTACTAATGCCAGAATGTTGTCAGAGTCCCGTAGGCTTTGCGGTATCCAGTGTCTCCAACCTTTTCTTGATATCACGTGGTGCGAATCGAATTGACTGAAGACTGGTATCTGTAATGCTGGGGACCACTGGAGGAGGTGGAGATGGATCATCCACTCAGCACTTCTGGCTGAAGATTGCTGCAAAAGCTTTAGCCTTATCTTTTGCACTGATGTGCCGGGCTCTTCCATCATTGAGGATGGGAATATTTGTGGAGCCTCCTCCTCCAGTGAGTTGTTTAATTGTCGACCACCTTTCACAACTGGATGTGGCAGTACTGCAGAGCTTAGATCTGATCCATTGGTCGCGGGAGCACTTAGCTCTGTCTATCACCTGCTGCTTATGGTGTTTGGCATGCAAGTAGTCCTGTTTGGTGGCTTCACCAGGTTGACACCTCATCTTCAGGTATAAAAACCAAAAGAATTGTGGATGCTGTAAATCAGGAGCAAAAACAGAAGTTGCTGGAAAAGCTCAGCAGGTCTGGCAGCATCTACGACGAAAAATTCAGATTTAATGTTTCAGGTCAAGTGAACCTTCCTCAGAAGCTCCAACAACACTCAAGAAATGTGACACCATTCAGGACAAAGCTGCTGCTTGATTTGCACCACATCAACAAACATTCACATCCTCCACCAGCGACACTCAGGAGCAACAGTGTATACTATCTACAAAATGCAAAACAAAAATTCACCAAAGCTTCTTAGACAGCATCTTCCAAACCCACGACCACTTCCATTCTGATGGACAAAGGCAGTAAATACATGGGAATACCATCATCGACAGGTTCTTCTCCAAACCATCAATACATTGATTTGGAAATATATTGCTTCAGTGTTGTTGGGTCAGAAGCCTGGAATTTCCTCCGAAATGGCATCATGAGTATATCTACATCACATGGATTGCAGTGGTTCAAGAAGACAGCTCATCACCACTTTCTCAAAGGCAATAAATACTGACCCAGCAGTGACATCCACATTCACTAAATGAATAAAAAAATGTGGGGAAGCTTCAAATGTTTCTTTTGGTAGTAAGAATGGAAAAGCAAAATATATTTTAAAAGGTATAAATCTTTCAAATGCTCACAAATAGGTGGTACAATGAACTAAGGTACAAATGAGAATTATGAATTCAAGTAGCACACTGGACTTCGTTGCAAAGACTGGCAAAAGAATACGGAAGTTTTTCTACAATTGGTGAGACCAATGTTCAGTCTTGGTCTCTATATAGAAGGAAGGATATACCGGTCTTGGAAGCAATATTTATGTCAAGATTTACTTAAACTAGTCCTGAGATTGAAAGGGGTTGTCCTATGATGAGGGATTGATTAAAAGTATGAATTGAAATGCTTTCAGAAGTAACAAGAATAAATTCTATTATTTCTGGTATGCTGATCTGAAAGGTAATAAATTTGAAGCGGATGCATTGTGCTGGCAATAATTCAGAAACTGTTAGCCAGTGATAAATTTCTTACTTTTGGTTGCTGTGCTTATAAGGTGTCTTGTGCAATTCCTCAATGTCATGATCCAATTCTTCTCTCCCATGTAATATTTCATGGATGCTGTGCCGAAGTTGTTCTATTTGCTCATGATACCTATCTGTGGACAGACTTGTCTGATCTTCATATTTATGGGACCTCAAATGGGCGATAATGTCTTCTAGTCTGCTGACTTCATTCTCCTGAAAGGCAGAGATAAGTTTCAAATGTAAATGAAGGAATGCTAATCATTGTGCTACTGAAGTTCTGCCTTCTACATATTGGGCCGTAGTTTGAGGAATGATAAACTCACACAGATTGCCACTCCGCCATTTTGTTTCCGCCATAGCAGATGGTGGAATTTAAATTTTAAAAAAATTTGTACTTAAGAGTCTAATGATTTTTATTTTTATTTATTCATTCACAGGTGAGGGTGTTGCTGGCTAGGCCAGCATTTATTGCCCATCCCTAACTGTCCAGAGGCAGTTAACAGTCAACCACATTGCTGTGGCTCTGGACTCACATGTAGGCCAGACCGGTTAAAGATGGCAGTTTCCTTGCCTAAAGGATATTAGATGACCATAAATCCATTGTCAATTGTTAAAAAAACCCATCTGGTTAGCTAATGTGCTTTAGGGAAGGAAACAGCCATCTTTACCTGGTCTGGTCTACATGTGATTCAGACCCACAGAAATGCGGTTGACTATTAATGGCCCTCTGGGCAATGAGGGATGGACAATAAATGATGGCCTAGTCAGCGATGTCCTATGTGAACAAATGAAACCAGGCCTCATTTTCACATCAGTCAACTGACGTATGCTGAAATTTAAAATATCCAGAATCTCAGACAGCCACTTTGACAGCAACTGTTAAAGTAGCAAGTACATAAAGTAACTATGAGGTTGGATGCTGAGAGGGTAGGATGCCAGCTAGGACAGGTGCCAAGAGTGTAACAGGTAGGATGCCAAGTGGACAGAATGCCAGGTAAGCAATGTAATATTTAGGGTAGGTCTGCATGGGTGGCAGATATCAGGGTCTGGTGGTAGTAGAGGGATGAATATTTAATCTGGGTCTGGCAGCAGTTGCAGGGGGTTGTTAGGGCTGAGGCAGATTGGGTCGGGAACAGGGAAAACAGGGGCCAGATTCTTGGAACAAGGAGGCAAATCCGGCCAGAAGGAGGGGAAGGAGTCTCAAGCAGGAAAAGTAGGCAGCATCGGAGTCAGAGCAAGGGGAAAGGGGAGCAGGATGGGGGTCTCATAAATGGTCTGCTGCAGTTATAGTTGCAGGTGTGTGACCTATGTGTGGGATTAGGGGTCAGATTCTGTATTTAATAGTCTAGCTTTTCCTGAGTAATAACTTATGCCATTTCTTCAGAACCTTCTGAATTCACCAATTTCATGGGTAATTTCGGAAGGTTCCAAGCATAGAAGAATTGCCAAACGGAATCTCCAATTTTGTGGGCTATTACTTCAGAGATCGTCATATTGGAAATTCTGCATCGTCACAATGCACAACTCCCATCTATACTGGAATAATGACTGGCCATTAAACAATCCTGGCTACAATGCTGAAAACAACTTTGGAAATTCTGTGTGACGCAGCACAGGTACCAGAAGTCTTACCAAGTCATGATGCTCCAATACATTGCAATGCAGAACACCAGCAGGAATAAGAGGGACAGTAAAGTTGGCAGGAGGTGGTCCATAAGCAACGTGAGCTCCAGGTGGTGGAGGTCCATAAATAATTGTGCTCGAAGAATCAGGTCCAACAGTGGCTGTTGCTGTTGGAGGCGGTCCATATACCACTGTACCTTGTGGCACAGGGGTACCATCTGGGTACATTGTATAAATAACTGAGCTTGGTGGGGCTGTAAAAGGTTGCCTGGGCATGCCACTATCATCACTCTCAGTCCCACTATCTTCACCATCACCTAGAAATGACAAAAGATTTACCTTACAAGCAAACAAAATGGCTACATTAAATATCACAGCCTTAACCAGCACAAAGTTGTGGAATTAAACACAAGTTGTGGCCAGTATAATTAATTTTGTGATCTTTTGCACTAGTTTCAAAACCATTCCCATAGAAGCTGGACTTCGCTCCCCATTAAACTGGTGTCTAATGCCTTTGGGAGATTTTGCTAATTCTGCTCATGTCAGGGACTTCAAGAAGACTCCGAAATCTAACCTGGAAACTTTGTACAGAAGGACACCAATAGATACACATTGGAAAGTTTTGAATTTAGTTTCTCCTTACGTTTGGTTCACAATTCATTGTGCCCCAGACTCATTGGAAAATAGGTTTCTTCGTTTAAAATTTTAAATTACTGAAATCGGCTGAGTTATCCATTGGTGATGGACTGACATTGTAATTTGAGATGCCTACTTTTTTGGTTAAAGCCATGTTCAGTTTCACTAATCAAACCATACCAAGTTAACATTCTTAAATATAATACGGAACACTTTTTATTAAAAATCTGCTTTAAAACACAGCCTGATTTTACTCGTTCATGGCAGATTTTGAAATTAACTAAATGTATAGTAGACTAAACAGAAAGGCAGGAAGGAAACACTTTTCAAAACTGACATAATAAGCACTGCAATAGACAAGCGTGTCCAAAGCTGAAATTCAGACTCTTAAAACAAGACCTTCGCTTACACCTCCCATGGGGGTACCTGTGTGGGTTCGAGTCTTGTATGAAGCACGTCTGATTGGTGAGTAAACCCAAAAGCCTCGAGGAATCGGTTGTGTATATCCCTCCTCATTTCCTCTTTTAGGAGTTGATCGCTGACATGAAGATGGTGGAACCTGATATTGGGAACTGAATCCAGAGTCTTTTGTATGATTATTTTGCGAAACGAGGCTTGATGGCTATGAAGTGAGAAGAAAACTCTATTCATTAGCACCATTGAAATATTTGATTGGGTTATGTTCCAGGTCCATGCATAGAATATAATTGCATCTACAACAACCAGCAGTTCCAGAAAATCAATGATATTAGTATCTCGTTGAGTTTCTCATTATTAACTAAATAACATTAAAGTATTCGTCTGATCTAAAAATCATGAACATTAATATGGAATTGTAAAGAAAACATTAACTTTTCATCAGTTATACTTGTGTGTTTCAGATTTTAGGCACAGCAACTTGTTAGCTTCCAGCATGATTGTGACACGACAGCATACATGTAACAGCCCATGTACATAGTCAGGGATGAAGTAATGCCACTCATCGCTGACCTCGAAGAAAGATACTCAAAAATTCTGCAATTTCGGTGATAGATTTGACCTTTTCCGATGTTAATCTCACATTGGTGTCAACTATACAGATCACCCACTTCCAACTGTGTTATAAGCTTCCAATCATATTAAAGAGATTTCAGAGATCAGAATAAGTTGTAAAAAGCACCGAATATCTGTCACACTTTAATTTTTTTTTACAGCGAATGAAACAAATAGGATATACAATTGGGATGAAGGTTGCAGCTAACACAACAAGAACAAAAGAGTATTATTTTGAAAATTTTACAGAATATTATCATAGTGGAGAAACTTAACAATCCACAAATGCAAAATAAGCTTTCATGGCTAGAGAATTCATTCGGTAGTAATAATCACTTGATAGAACTTTTAAAAAGCCAGTTACACCTCATTTTACAAGGTATAACAATTTCAATGTTTCTTTCATTGAGTTTAATGGTGGAAATTCACAATAAATGATTTGATTTTGATCTGTGAGAATATCAAAATGCACTCTGTGGAGTACTGGGAATCATAAGAACATCCAGATTTCTCTGTTTAACTGCACAAGAGGTTAGTTTCAAGGTGTAACAGTGGTGAATATTGGTAGTTTTGCATTCATTAAACTGTAAAATCTAGGCCAATGCTTGACAAACGAGTGAAGTCACACGTAACGCTATACCTTAAAATATGAGATATTCATTCAAAGTATAGAATTCCATTTTCAAAATGGAGAATAGCCTTCAGATCATGTGGGTGAATAGAAATGAGAGAAAACAGAGGCCCCAAATTGCCATAAACAAACCTAAACAGAAATAAAATTCTTTCAACTCACTGATACAGCACATTCTAAAATCGTGAAAAATACACTTATGACATAAAAAGGCATTCATAAATTTGTATTTTTCTTACTTTTGGTGCAGACGGCACAAAGTACCAGTACCCTCTTCTCTTAAGTGGATCAGTCATGCTTGTAATATAGTCATTCTGATTGCCAAGGGCAATTCTGAGTGCAGTGATTTCATTTATCAAGTCTTCCATCTCATCTAAATTACCTGAAAAACAAACAAAAATGCATACTAGTAAATGGCTTCTTGAATTATTCTTTTGTGAGATCTAGGTGCTGTTGCAAAGTCAGTAGTTATTGCTAATTCCTAAATAATAACTAAAAAGTTAAGCATCAAATACATAATTGTGGAACTATGATCAAATATAACCTGGACCAAACAAGGATGGTATTTTTTTTCCTAAAAATGATTCAAGTCAATTTTTATAACAACCCTCTGGTTCATGATTGCAATTACTGATTCTAGACTTTTGTTCCAGATTTGTTTAATTAAAATCAAAAATGTTCCAGCTGCTGTGTTATGTTAAAAACCCACTACCAGCTCCTTAATGGAGTCTCTAGATTCCTAGTCCAGAAACACAATGCCTCTGTTACCGTACTAACTGAACATTTTGAAAAACCTTCTTGGCACATACACATTGGTAGCAAAGCCCTTCAAAAAATTGTGGAAAGCAGTCTTCTTAAACGAGTACAGTCCACAGTGTCGTTAGGAACAGAGTTCAAGGATTTTGATTTCAGTTAAATCAAGTTGGCTGCAGGAGCATGTGCTTTGGGAAATCCATAGTCAGAGAAGGAAAATGCGGCGATTTTGTATCTACAAATGAACTACATTCAATTACCAATAGAAAATAATCCAACATATTATTACATAGTAGCACAAGTGAACGATTCATCAATACAATGGAGTAATGTCATAAATAGCAAAATTGTAACTTATTTTGATAGACAAAAACAGAATTATTTCTGGTTTACCAACATGTAATTAGATTCAGTTAATAGCAGACTACATATAATTGTAGTTAAATCCCACCATGATACACCATTTCTATACCCTTCAGCCATGACTGACCAATCATGAGTAATGATTACTGATTTAAGAGGATGCTACCAGACTACTGAGACTAGCAGGATCTTACAACATCAATGGATACAGAGGTTATACTCTCAGTCTGCAATAGGGGGCTGATTAGTTCAGTCAGCTGGATGGATAGTCTGCTATGTAGAGTAATGCCAACAGTGCAGGTTCAATTCCTATTCCAGCTGAGGTCAATGTGAAGGTCTTGCCTTCCTGATCTCACCCCTCACCTGAGGCATGGTGACTGTCAGGCTAAACCACCACCAGTCGTCTTTCTAATGAGAAAGCAGCCTTCCAGTCCTTGAGGACTATGGTGACTATACTTTTTACCCTTAATTCTATAAATGCCTGTACATGAGAGACTTTGGACTTCGACAGTTGCTTTATAGTTATACAGTTATAGTCCATAGGATAATGCTGTTTCTTTTGAATGAATTGAAATTTTAAACGGAACTGATTAAATAAACACAAATAAAAGTTAAATACATTTGGAGTTATACAAAACCTTGGTTAGACCCTACTTGGAGTACTGAGAGTGGATCTGGGCACCACACCTTAGGAAGGATATACTGGCCCTGGAGGGAGTACAATGTGAGTTTACAAGAATGATACTTGGACTTCAGGGGTTAAGTTATGAGAAAGGATTACACAAATTAGACCTATTTTCTCTAGAATTTAGAAGGTTAACTGGTGATCTGATCAAACTCTTCAAGATATTAATAGGAAAATATTAATTATTTCCACTGATTGGGGATACTAGAACTAGAGGGCATAGTCTGAGAATTAGGGCCAGATCGTTCAGGAGAGATGTTAGGAAGAACTTCTACACACAAAGGGTCATAGATGTTTGGAACTCCCTTCCACAAACGGCACTGGATGCTAGATCAGTTGTTAACTTGAAATCTGAGACAGATAAATTTTTGTTAAATGGAGGTATTAAGGGATATGCCCCAAAGGCAGGTATATAGAATTAGGCCACAGATCTGTCATTGAATGGTGGAACAGGCTTGAGGGGCTGAATGGCATATTCATGTTCCTAGTAATTGGAAGGAACAGGCTTTGACATATATTTTCAACTTGCTGCCCAGAAATAGTAATGCTCCGAAAAAGAAAAGTAGATCATTTCTGCAACGGATGACATTTTATATAATAATATATAGTTGAAAATCAACCCTTTAAAATCAAATCACGCAAACTGACTCACGATGGCTAGAAAGGGCTATCAGCAAATTAAAGTTTGAAACTTCAAGCGCAAAAAAAAATTGCAGGATGTTTTACACAAAAACTAAATTCTTTGTTTTAATGTTACCACTGGTCAACACTGTAATCCCACATACACACAAATGCTCAGATCTTCCAAATGGAAGCAAGTTGTCACAGCAATGAGGCCCTTTGGACATCCCTGTACACCAACTTCTCTGGAACTGTCCGTCAAATTTAAGCTTCTGATTGACAATTACCAGGCATCTGGTATCATACCGACAAATTCTCCAATCCTGAGTTACTCTTCATGACTTCTGAGGGTTCCAATTCATTTAACTGGACAGTTACTCAGGACACATTAGATGGATTATAACCTGCTCTAACTGTTGGGGAATTTTAAAACCCTTCAGCCCAATTTATCACCGACACCAGACACTCTGCACACCATCCCTGACCAGGCAGACATTTCTCCCTGCCCCAGTGCCACTAACCTCTCAATCACTACAGACAAAGACAGGAAAAGACAAAACCAAGTGGTCAAACAAACTGCACTTTACCTTCTCTGGTTTGCTCCAGATGATCTTGGAGGTGTTTCAGTTCTGCCCGTTGCTGATTTAGAGCTCGATTTAGTCTATCAATTTCTAGTTGTTGGCCATTTACAGTATTTGCTCCGAAATCAAATGATTGAATTCCATCTAGAATCTAAAAAAAATTACTTATGGATTTGAATACTGTGTTATAATCATAGCACAAATTTAAAATTAGTAATGAATACAACAAGAAGCACACAAGGATACAGAGTTTTGGAAAAAAGGAAACTGATAGTGCAGCTGTAGAAATGGTTCCTATAAACTCAGTTGAAATATTGCTTTCATAACAATACAACAATGCTCAAAAAAGCTGCTAAAAAAGATAAATGTCATCCCTTTCATCCACTGTAGTAATAAACATATTAAATTAAAACTTTACTGTTATAAGAAAAGCAAACTTGAAAGTACAGTGTATAATATTACATGTTTTATCTCAATTACATTAATCTAATCCGTCCAAACTAAATTTAAGATTGAATAGTTTCTTTTGGCTGATTATGGGGTTAAGCAACATTGAAAACTGGACAGACGCTGCACAAGGGCTAATAACGTAGCACAACTATAACTGGAATGTAACAGCCTTTACGAAGCCACATGAGATATAAATACCTGTCATAACACTGGATTTTGAGATTATATTTCTGAGAACCCACCATGCTTGGGTTGCAGCATTACTAGATGCAAAAGTGACAAATGCTGCATTCCCTAAATGTGCAGCATCCACAAGAGGCACTGCAACAATGCACCAACATTCCTTCAACGGAATTGTCAAAACCAAGATTTCTACCATGCAGAAGGACATGGTCATAAGTCCATGGAAACAACACTACCAGCAAGTTCCCTTGAGCTGTACACCACTCTGCCTTGGACTTGTATCACTATTACCTCTCTGTTACTAGGCCAAAATTCTGAAGCTCTTTCCCTACCAGCACTTTGGGTAAATTCAAAACACAAGAATAGAAGTATTTTAAGAAGGCCACCAACTTCTTCGCCAGCCTTACCAAAACTGCACAAATTACTAAAAATCTTAATTAAGTATTACTTAGAAATTACAGTAGAGACAAGCAATTGAGTTACTGGTCTATGCAATGGCTTACAGCATAATTTTTCATTCTGTTTTCCTTTATGCACCAGTCTAATTTTGCCTTAAATGCATTTACTCTTTGCTTCAATCAGTTCATGTGGATGCAAATTCAAATTTCAAAGACTTTTTGATTCTTGTAAAAACATGTGGAATTAATGTAGTCAATGTGTCTGCAATTCTTTGACTTCACCTGGCTTTCTTTTTCTTTTAATAAGTTCTGTAGCATATCGATTTCAGCTTCTGCCTTGGCAAGGTCACGAGCTGCCCGAGTTGCCTCAGCTTTGAATTTTTCTGCTAATCCCACTTCCTAAAGAAAAAAAATGCCAAACCACAAGTAGAAGGTGAAAATAATGTACATTTTTTGGTGTATGTTGTTCTAGGAAAATTAATAAAGTTAAAAACATGTACTCTGAATGTATTTTGCATTCAATAAAATATATGTTACCTCTGTTCTTTCATGGCTAAGTTTTTGAACAGTCCCCTCAAGAACTTTTAGGTGGTCTTTAGCAGTGGAGAGTTCTTTAGCAGCCACCTTCTCAGATGTAGCCACTGTTTCCTGCAAGTCTTTCAAGTTTTTCTCGAGGCCACACAGTTTTAAATGCATTCTTCGACCCTCTATTTTGCTCTACAATTAGATTCAAACCAAGTTAAATCAATGTTTCCCTGATGACCTTCTTATTTTAGCCTCCTAGGTTGTCAAAGAATGGTGAGTCAAGTCTGTCTATACTGCACTATTTCTTTGGTGTCATGATACCATAATAGGGTAAGAAGAGGACGCAGACCCGTAAGTATTACTACAGCTGATACAGAGATTGAACCCAGGCTGTTGCTGTTATTAAGCACTACAATCCAGCCAACTGGTCTGACACTCCGTAATGTACACTCTTATTTAAAATCTATGAAATGTATACTTTCATTAGTTTTGCAGAAATATAAATATCTTCCACTTATAAAGAAACAGTATGAAATTTGAAACTTGATGAAACAATTCTCACTTGACAAGTTTTTAAAGAAACTAGCAAACATTTAAGATTTAAAAAAATGCATTTTAAATTAATATTAAACTTATGCAGCTGGCTCAGTGAAAATGTAACGTAAATCCAATCAGCGAGAATACACGACCACAGAAAAAGACAATCCCTTTTTACTGAATGGTAGGTTTTCAGTTTCCAGGGTATCTGACACACTGTTCCACAAACATTATGTGACTAAATTAGATGCATGCATACTTCAGAAAATATTTACATATACAAGGAGAATTTTTTTCTACTTCATATCTCCATAAAGTGTGCATGAGGGGAGAAGTTTAGAAAAAAACGCACCTTCCTCCTCATTACTTTTTATTTCACATTTCAAACATCCACAATATCTTGCTTTTGTACCTCTTCAGAAACATGATTTGTCAAGTTTGCACCATCTGCAGGATCAAATGAAGTCAATATTTCCAACAAAACTTCAGAATTACTGGTGATGTTAATGAATTAGTGACCTAATAATTTGGGTCTTAACCTTTTCTTTCTGATCTTTGCACCCAGGAGGCAGAGGATTCACCAGGAGCAAAGAGAAGTTAAAACAGCAAACTCTAATAGTGGCAACAGTTCTACTGTAATCTCTTTGCTTATTTGCACTTTCCTCCACAACTGCAAGAAAAACCAACACGGTATGGCCTTTAGCTCATTATTAAGTGCTTTCTTTTCCTTCAAGAAACTTGCCTTATCCTATCTTTCTAGCCATCTTCTACCATAGTCCTGTCAGGTTTATTTCTAAGTTAGCACACAGCTTTATTTGTGCCTCACTATTAAATCGATGGTCTTATGTGGTCCCTTTACACCCATGATCTGATTAGCTGGGCAATATCTAGTCACCTCCTTGTATACTTTTTCACAATTGCTCTACCTAACTGCTTCCAACTGTACTTCCTTCTGCATTCGTCCCTGAAAAAACACTTGCCATCTGCTGTAAGCCCTGATTTAAAGTTTATTTCCTATCTTAGCTGCTTCCCATCTCCTGCTCCCTTGATTACATTCCCACTAAGAGTCATAGAGTCATACAGATGTACAGCATGGAAACAGATCCTTTGGTCCAACGTGTCCATGCTGACCAGATATCCTAGATAAATCTAATCCCATTTGCCAGCATTTGGCCCACATCTCTTATAAACCTTTACTATTCATATATCCATCCAGATGCCTTTTAAATGTTCTATTGTACCAGTCTCCACCACTTCCTCTGGCAGCTTATTCCATACATGCACCATCCTCAGCATGAAAGAATTGCCCCTTAGGTCTCTTTTAAATCTTTCCCCTCTCACCTTAAACCTATACCCTCTCGTTTTGGACTCCCTCACCCTGGGGAAACAATCTTGTCTATTTACCCTATCCATGCCCCTCATGATTTTATAAACGTCTAAGGTCAACCCTCAGCCTCCAATGCTCCAGGGAAAATAGCCCCAGCTATTCAGCCTCTCCCTCTAACTCAAACCTTCTGACCCTGGCAACATCCTTGTAAATATTTTCTGAGCCCTTTCAAGTTTCACAACATCCTTCCTATAGCAAGGAGACCAGAATTTCATGCAATATTCCAAAAGCGGCCTAACCAATGTCCTGTATGACTGCAACATTACCTCCCAACTTCTGTACTTAATACACAGACCAATAAAGGCAAGCATACTAAACATCTTCTTCACTATCCTATCTAACCGTGACGCCACTTTCAAGGAAATATGAACTGCACTCCCAGGTGTCTTTGTTCAGCAACCTGCCCCAGCACCTTGCCATTGAGAGTATAAGTCCTGTCCCAATTCGCCTTTCCAAAATGCAGCACCTCACATTTATCTAAATTAAACTCCATCTGCCACTCCTTGGCCCATTGGCCCATCAGATCAAGATTATGTTGTATTCTGAGGTAGCCTTCAATTGTTTCAAACCGCTGACCTTGCAACCTATTGTCCTATTTCCACTTCTTTTTGAAAATGTTGCCATGGGTACCTGTATGGGCTCTAGCTATGCCTGCCTGTTTACAGGGTAGGTGGAACATTCCTTGCTACAGTCCTACTAGGGCCCATTCCCACAACCCTTTTTCTGGTACATCAATGACATAATTCGTGCTGCTTCCCTTTCTTTCCAGAATTAGAAAATTTGATCAATTTTGCTTCCAATTTTCATCCTTCTGTCACCATCATCCGGTCCATCTCTAACTCCTCCCTTCCCTTCCTTGACATCTATGTTTCCATTTCTGGGGATAGCCTGGCCACTGATATCCATTACAAATCCACTGACTCCCGGAGTTACCATGACTTCCTCACAGCCTGGAGGAGCTCCATTCCATTCTCCCACTTTTTCTGTCATGTATGTTCTGATGATATCACTTTTGGCAGGGGACACTCAGACACGTCTACTTTTTTCCTCAATCCAAGATTCCCCAATAGCACAATGGACAGGGGCCTTAGCCGTGTCCAACTCATTTCTGCACTTCTGCCCTCATCTCTTCCCTTCCCTCATGCAGCAACGATAGGATCCTCCTTGTCCTCACTTTCCATTCCACCAGACTCCACATCTAAAGGTCATATGCTGCCATTTCCACCATCTCCAGTGTGATATCACCATTAGATACACATTCTTCTCTCCTTCCTCCCTTGTCAGCATTCTGCAAGGATCATTCCTGCTGGGACATCTTGGTCCGCTCCTCCCTTTCTCCCAAAATCTCCCCACCCCTCCACAGCACCTTTCCAGATAATCACAGAAGGTGCAATACTTGCTCATTTAGCACCTGTCTCCTCACCATATTAGGCACCAAATAGACCTTCCAGGTGAAACAGTGATTTTTCTGCACTTTACTCAATCTGGTCTATTGCATTGCTGCTCACAATGTAGTCTCCTCTTTACGGGGGAGATGAAAGTCAGACTCGGTGTCTGCTTTCCAGAACACCCTACATTCTGTCCATAAAAATGACCCCAAGCTTCCATTTGCTCACCACTTTAATACATCATCATCTTCCCATGCCAACATTTATGTCTCAGATCTGTTGCAGTGCTGCAGTGAAGCTCAATGCATCTCATCTTCAGCTTAAGCACATTACAGCCTTCAGGTCTCACCATTGAGGTGAACAATTACACAACATAAATACCCTTCCTTGTCTATTACCTACTTCCACTACCACAGGTCCTGAAATAGGTTGCTTTCAGTACAGCCAAGCTATTTTCAATTACTCATTGTTTCCATTATCACCCTTCTGTCTTATCTTCTTCACTAGTTGAGTATCAACAATCCCTTTGTCTGCCTAGCATTTTTCTGTCCCTCTTGAATTCTTCTCCACCTACCTACACACTCCTTTGCCCCTCTACCTCCCATCATAAGCTTAACCACCACCTTTTCCTAGCTGCTTCTAGTTCTGAATAAGGGTCACAGGACTAGAAACATTAACTCTGTTTTCTCTACACATATGGTGCCAAACCTGAGGTTTCTTTAGCAGTCTGTTTTTGCTTGTTTCAGATCTCCAGCCTTTTATTTTTAAAAAATCCTCTATTGTGTCCAGAAACAAAAAGCTCGAACTGATTTTTGATTTGAATCAGGTAAGCAAACTAAAATCAGATGAAATCTGGATATTTACCAATTTTACGATTATGTAGTAACATTTTTGTTACCTTGTTTTCTTTATCTTCAATTTCTGTTAAAAGTTTATCTCTATCTGCATCAGCCTCCTGGAGCTGCTTGTCAGTGAGTGCCTGTAACTCCTGCATGTTTGTCAGTTGCTCCTGGAGCTGCAATATTTCATTCTTCAACTCCTGTGCCTTAGCCTCATTGACTTCTTTTTCAGATTTCATCTGTAAGTAGATAACAATTAGGCTCTCAAAAGGACTACCAAAAGTGTTATATTAATTGAACCCAATTTACAGAACACAAAAAACTAGGTGTACAGTCAGACAGTGACATTTAGGAAAATGTGAATAAATAACTTAAGAAGGAATACTATGAAATCATAATGCGCCTTTTTTCTGGAAATAATGTGAATGTTTCTTTGCCTTATTTAGCATTTTCATTCATCAAACAAATCTGCCTGATTTTACTGATTTGGTTTTCAAATTGGGGTCCCTGAACTGCAGGAAGCTGTATGGTCAAATTTAATTCATTTTCCCTGTTGGATTCTTGTATTTCCTTTTGGTTTATTAACCTGCTGCTTTAACTTTTCTCCAATGCCAACACTGTGAAACCATCTTTAATAGTTAGAATTGGACACTCAAATGGAGTACCATTGCAATTACCTCCATGCTGTGCAAGGTGCCAGGATATTTCCCTCTTGTCCACTGCAGGGAGAACATTCTGAATGGTCTACTTCTTATGGCTGAGGAAAGCCTTCCAGAGACAGAGTGCAAATTTAGTCCTGCTATGGGAACCTTCAACATGGTTTCCAACAGCAGATAAATCCAAGAAAACACAACCGCCAAGTACTTAGATGGACTTATCAACCTGAGCAGAGCTTTTGACTCAGTAAATCTCAAGGCTCTGTGGATTGTGCATAAAGATGTGGATGCCCAAGAAACTTGTTCACAATCCTACAGTCATATAGCATGGAAACTGACCCTGCAGTCCAACTATAAATATACATGATCTACAGATCTGTACGGAGTTTGAAGGCTGCTGTCATTGACTTCCAACTCTGCGTACAAAAAGCCTCATCTGTCCTGGAATGTTGCCCAAAAAAAAAACTGACATCCAATCAAAGCCAGGCATGTTGAAGGAGAAACTCCGGAATTAGGTTGTCCAAATCTTGGTAGCCACCACCTGTCTTAAACCATTGACAAGAAAATCCAACTCTGGATCAGCTGCAGCAGCATATCCTTGTAGAAACTACAGAAGTGAGAGTATTCTATTAAAGACGTCTGCAAATCAAAGGAAGTCCTAGAGCACAGGCCAGTTCTTAACATCGCACTCCAGTACTGCAGTGAGCCCTGCAATGCACATCAATAACACAAGTGTGATAAAGAAATTCAATCATAATATTTCCTGTTGCTTACTGTGGATTCAATGGGAGGACCACCAAACAAACACAAGTGTCCTTCTTGAAGCTGTGCAACAATAACTCTGGCAGAATTTCTGCAAAATCAACTTTGATGGACTGGACACTCTATCCTGATGGCCAAAAACCACTTCCTACACCAGATCCTGTTTTCTTAACTATCAAGTTGCCAAAGGTCCAAGGGAATACAAAGAAAATGCTTCAAAGACACTGAAGCTGTTCTTGGAGTCCAGTAGAAACAATGTACAGCAGCAGCTTTCCATTAAATGCTTAGAATGGTGACAACTTGTCCGTTAAACTGCATCATGCTTCAAATCTCAACACCTTAATGATGAAGCAAAGCGACAGCAGCGAAGGAAGTAAATCCTGCACTCCACATCTTGATCACTACCACTTGGGACACTCTGCCTCATGTCCCAACCATCAGTGGGATAAGAATCAGACTGTCCACTCACATTAAGTTTCACACCAACAATGTGCACTGAGTAGTTACAATCAGTGAATAAAGGAACAGTTGACTAATATTTACAGAAAGACTCCATGAAGGAAAGGTTGAAGACTACTGGTTACAGATGCATTTATTCCCTTTCTATTCAAGTGAAAAACTAAAAGATTTGTATCTATTTGAAGAAGACAAAAGTTTAAAATTATCTATACACACAGTGTATTGGTACATTAGTGGGTAACTCAGGTAACAAAACATCACCATACTGCAATTCATTCATCGAGCTTGTTGCAAATATTGTTTGACTGTATGAAAACTTTTCTGCTAATTGTTAATGTGCAAAATAAAGCTTAGCATTTTTAAAAATTATTTTCTTACTTTTAAGTTATTAACAAAAAGTATTGTGTACATTATTTGAACGATGCTATTTGATGTAAATTCATCAGCCTACAATTACCAATGTTTCTACTGCCTTTTCACAAGCAGTCGTGTAATCCTCCTGTTTATTTTTCAGTTCATCCTGCAATCCCATCACTTCCTGTTCTAATTTCTTCTGATGTTTTAAAGCTTCCTCTTTTTCCTGGTGTGAGCGGCCCAAAATTTTATTCAACTGTTTCTGCAATCCAGCAAGATTCTTTCCCAAAGTGTCTCCTTGGTTATAAGGCCTAAGAATAAATAAAAAAAATTCTCATTTCCCATTAGAAAAGTCACATGATTAATCAATTAAGCACAAAGCTTCTTCTAAAATTCTAACGTTACTAAAGCTTTTAAAGCATGCAATGAATAACTTTAACAGACTGAAAGTCTAACCTAATTTCGTGAATACCAGAATCCAGTCTTTTTCTGAGCTCAGAGACACGAGCAGAAACCTCCTCTGGGTGAATCATTGTTTTCATAGCCTGATCTATATGTGCCTGAAGCTCCTGAAGCTGTTCCTTCAACAAAGAGTTATCAATCTGGAAGGCACATAATATCCATATTACGGTAATCATCATACTCCACGTGTATTTAAAAGCATCTGTTTCTTTCTCTAAATAACGTATTGCAGTTTACAGGTTCAAACTAATATTTGTAGAATTATGCATTGCTGCTTGTCACATTATTGGAGGTCAGTCAAAAATTAATGGTGATGGTGTGAAAAGCTTCACTTCCTAAAGTAGTCAAATTTTAATGGTGCCTTTTAAGACAAAAGATAGGAACAGGTAATTTTCCTTTTTTGGCACCTTGTAGTATCAGATCTCGTGAAACCAGGTCTAGTTCAGATAAATGAAACATCCTTTGTTTTGCACCAACAATATGCCACTGTTTTGAAGTCAGATTTTTAACTACAAAGAAGTTTTAAAATGAGGACCTGCAACTAAGAGAAGAAAAAATTATCCTACTTTTTAAATCACAGGTGCCAGAGGTAAAAGAACTAATCTACTGTACCAAACATGGATATCATTTTAAACTTGGTGCATGTCAGTTAAAAAAAGGCTTAAAAATGCAATTTGGCAGCCACTACAAATTTTGTTTTCATAGCAAAAGTACGTCATGTGCCTTATTTTTAAAAAGAATAAAAAGAGACAAGCTCCCTGAACAGCTTGTGCAATATTTCAGTCAAATGGTGATGAGAACATCATCAATAATTTCTCCAGCTGCAATATCCTCTTAGAAGGCTTAGGACCTATATGATGTTAGTGCCAAATTAGCACTGTACCATAACTAATTTGCAGTTCCTTGATATTATTCTGTGTGGGGAATTCAATCAAGATTGAAGTGCAACAGTAAAGCAGTAACATCTAAAGTATGATGAATATTTTAGAAAACGTTTTTTTAAGTTCAGTTCATGATCTTAACAATCTTAAACAAACAATGCAACATAGTTCACAATATTTGAAGCACCGTTTCTCTCAAGAAAATTTGAGCAAATTTACTCTAGGGATTTGCTTGACATTTTATTAGATATGCATTGTGATAGCTATTGTTTATGTATCCTAAGCTTATGGTGCAAAGCTGAGTTCAGGGTTAATATTTCAAACAATAATTTGCAAATATTTAAATACATTTCCAACATAAACATCAAGAACAAGTCATATAGTTTGTTATCCACCAAGAAGTAACCAGTGTCACGAGCTTACTCCTTGATGCTGTACAATATTAAATAAATATCAGTTAATTAGGAAAAACTGTCGCAATTATGTATTTTAAATAACTGTTAGTCAGATTTGACTTGCCTGAAGACCTTTTAGCTGTGCAACTAACTTCTTGTTTTCATGCTCCTTTTCAGCCACTAGTTGAGCCTGTGCTATGGCATTTTCTAGAGCTTGTCTTTCCTTTTCCAGCTCAGCTTGCAGAGCAGATTGCTCCATCTAGAATGTATATATTGCACCATATTAGTAGATAACTATTTTTAAATCAGAAGCATTGGAAAACATAAACATTCGAGTACTTCGCTAAGCCTGATAACTGAAGATGCATTTGAACTTTCAAAGCCAGGGAGATCAAATGAAGAACGGTGCTTTATGTTTCACTTGTAAACTGATCCAATAGTGTACATAATACAGTTCATTACAGATCCAGTGTCTATTATGATGTAATTTCATTAATAATTTGGAACCTCTAGAATTTTACCAAGATTCAAAGTTTAATAGTGTTTTAAAAGAAGTTCATAATAACCATTAAGGAATGTAATATCTATCACTATCTATCCAAAGTACTACACAGACAAGCGAAGAAAATGTGCAAAAAATAATAATGCTGAAAGACCAGCTTTTCTTCACTTAGTTGTTGAACAACATCTGCTCTTCTTCTACAGTTTAGAAAGACATTTACCCACTTAAAATTATTCCCTCTAATTCCCTGCATTTACATCTTCATTTAAAAAGGCTCCCAGTGTCCTTTGACACAGCTCATGTGTGCATCTCCTTCTCATAACAGAAAACCTGTCGGGCCAGCAAGTTGATAAAAGGCAATTGATGAAAAACAAAGGAGAAATAAATGCAAACAGAGCAGAAGTGTAAAACAATGACAAAAAAGTTAAAAAAAGTAAAATGATTATGAAACAAGAACATTTAAAATCATTGAGAAGTCTTAATTGCATGACATATTGCTCTAGCAACATGCATTGCAGGGGCTTACAGGTTATATTTCCCATTCCACTGTTTGTGGGTGCTTCCCAGGAGCGAGATACCAGAGAAGACCATATGCTTTCTTCATAGAACTAGCAAGGAGCCCGGCTGGGTTATTATGGCCACAGTCAAACAGTTAGCTTAGAACAACAAGGATAGAAGTTGGGGCCAATTTAATTGTTTAAACTCGAGCTGCAAGTGTTGTATGGTCTGAAACTGAGGGGAACATTGGAACTTAGGACCATAATAATGAGAAAGGCAACAACACCTCCTCCACGTTAATCCTCACCATCGGTGTTCTGCGAGACTGCATACTCCAACCCTTACTGTACTCCTTATATCCTCATGATTGTGTGGCTTTAGCTTTAGCTTTAACTCCATTTACAAATTTGCTGATGACCACCACTGTAGTCGGTTGGATCTCAAACAACCACGTGACAGAGAACATGAATGAGATAGTAAGCTTAGTGGCAATGTGTAAAGACAAAAATCTCTCCTTCAATGTCAGGAACAAAGGAGCTGATCATTGACTTCAGGAAGTGAAGTGGAGGATACGCCCCTACCTGTATCAATGATGCTAAGGTGGAGATGGTCGAGAGCTTCAAGTTTCTAGGAGTAAACATCAGCAATCTGTCCTGGTCCATCCATGTTGACGCTACAGTCAAGAAAACACACCAAAGCCTCTACTTCCTTCTTCGAAGGTAAAGGAAATTCCACATGTCCGTAATGACTCTTACCAACTTCTACAGATGCGCCATAGAAAGCATCCTAACCGGATGCATCACAGCTTGGTATGGCAACTGCTCTGCCCAAGACCACAAGAAATCACAGGGAGTTGTGAACGCAGCCTAGTCCATCATGAAAACCAGCCTTCCTTCCCTTGGTTCAGTCTATACTTTCCACTGCCTTGAGAAAGGACCCAACATAATCAAATACCCTTCCCACCCTGGTTATACTCTTTTCCACCCTCTTCCCTCTGGCAGAAGATACAAAAACGTGAAAGCATGTACCAACAGATTCAAGAACAGCTTCTTCCCTGCTGTAATCTGACTTATGAACAGACATCTCATATTTTAGATTTGATCTTTCTCTGCACCTTCTCTGTACCTGTAACACTATATTCTACATTCTGTTCTATTATCCTGATGTACTTATGTTAGGTATGATTTGCCTGGATAGCATGCAAACCAATACTTTTCACTGTATCTTGGTTCGTGTGACAACAATAAATCAAATCAAAGAAGAATTCTCCCAAAAACTCTACAAGCTTAAGCACTGAATTGATGATCATTTCAGAAAGAATTCAGAAAGCATGTGCCATTTAACTATTCTCAACTCTGGCAATGTTGTAACAAGCTGTAGTACCCCCGGGCTGGCAACAACAAAAATTCAGGATTTCCATTCCTAATTGCTATTGAGTGACCCCTAATGGCGCATCAAGAAGGAAAGTATTAAATTTGTCTATAGCATTCTCACAGCTGAATGACTTGCCTATACTATCAACGTTCACACAAGCAAGTTATGTTTGTGACTTATGACTAGTTATCTGACAGTATCCAATATTTGTGGAACCTACACTCTAGCCAAGGGTAAAATGTTTAGAATTTGGCAAACTCAAAAATCAACGTTCTTAAATTAAAACAAAATCAAATATAGTTGAAAATGGAAATCTTTAAAATTAAGCTCACTTGACTAACATAACTGATGTATTCTCACAAAGAACAAAGCAAATATCATGCATCCTGTACGATTTATAATATAATTCCAACTAATTTCAAGGTAGTTCTGTACAGACTGGTGCGTATTTGCTGAAATGCAGGGATAGTTGAATACTTATGCTGTTTCTATACCTAGCCTTTGGACTCTTTATGCCCCCTCACTTTAGAATGCACAGCAAGCAAAAAATAAGCAAAAGCAATAAAAATTACATATGCAAATTAAAAAAAAACCTAAAATATGATGAAGAG